CTATTTCCCGCCGCCACCGCGCCTGTTGTTCAGACTAATGCATCTCCCAGCCCCACCGCCGTCGCTGCCGCTGCTACTCCGTTGCTAATTCCCGCCGCCGCCGCGCCTCTTGTTCAGACTAATGCACCTCCCAGCCCCACCGTCGTCGCTGCCACTGCTACTGCGTTGCTAATTCCCGCCGCCGCCGCGCCTGCTGCTGTTGCTATTTCCCGCCGCCGCCGCGCCTGTTGTTCAGACTAATGCATCTCCCAGCCCCACCGCCGTCGCTGCCGCTGCTACTCCGTTGCTAATTCCCGCCGCCGCCGCGCCTGCTGCTGTTGCTATTTCCCGCCGCCGCCGCGCCTGTTGTTCAGACTAATGCATCTCCCAGCCCCACCGCCGTCGCTGCCGCTGCTACTCCGTTGCTATTTCCCGCCGCCGCCGCGCCTGTTGTTCAGACAAATGCATCTCCCAGCCCCACCGCCGTCGCTGCCGCTGCTACTCCGTTGCTAATTCCCGCCGCCGCCGCGCCTGCTGCTGTTGCTATTTCCCGCCGCCGCCGCGCCTGTTGTTCAGACTAATGCACCTCCCAGCCCCACCGCCGTCGCTGCCGCTGCTACTCCGTTGCTATTTCCCGCCGCCGCCGCACCTGTTGTTCAGACTAATGCACCCCCCAGCCCCACCGCCGTCGCTGCCTCTGCTACTCCGTTGCTATTTCCCGCCGCCTCCGCGCCTGTTGTTCAGACTAATGCACCTCCCAGCCCCACCGCCGTCGCTGCCGCTGCTACTCTGATGCTATTTCCCGCCGCCGCCGCACCTGTTGTCCAGACTAATGCACCCCCCAGCCCCACCGCCGTCGCTGCCGCTGCTACTCCGTTGCTATTTCCCGCCGCCTCCGCGCCTGTTGTTCAGACTAATGCACCTCCCAGCCCCACCGCCGTCGCTGCCGCTGCTACTCCGTTGCTATTTCCCGCCGCCGCTGTGACTGTTGTTCAGACTAATGCATCTCCCAGCCCCACCGCCATCGCTGCCGCTGCTACTCCGTTGCTCATTCCCGCCGCCGCCGCACCTGTTGTCCAGACTAATGCACCTCCCAGCCCCACCACCGTCGCTGCCGCTGCTACTCTGTTGCTATTTCCCGCCGCCGCCGTGCCTGCTGCTGTTGCTATTTCCCGCCGCCTCCGCGCCTGTTGTTCAGACTAATGCACCTCCCAGCCCCACCGCCGTCGCTGCCGCTGCTACTCCGTTGCTATTTCCCGCCGCCGCCGCGCCTGTTGTTCAGACTAATGCATCTCCCAGCCCCACCGCCGTCGCTGCCGCTGCTACTCCGTTGCTATTTCCCGCCGCCGCCGCACCTGTTGTCCAGACTAATGCACCTCCCAGCCCCACCGCCGTCGCTGCCGCTGCTACTCTCGTTGCTATTTCCCGCCGCCTCCGCGCCTGTTGTTCAGACTAATGCACCTCCCAGCCCCACCGCCGTCGCTGCCGCTGCTACTCTGTTGCTAATTCCCGCCGCCTCCGCGCCTGCTGTCTGTTGCTATTTCCCGCCCCACCGCGCCTGTTGCTGCTAATGCATCTCCCAGCCCCGCCGCCGTCGCGCCGCTGCTACTCCGTTGCTATTTCCCGCCGCCACCGCGCCTGTTGTTCAGACTAATGCATCTCCCAGCCCCACCGCCGTCGCTGCCGCTGCTACTCCGTTGCTATTTCCCGCCCCCGCCGCGCCTGTTGTTCAGACTAATGCATCTCCCAGCCCCACCTTCGTCGCTGCCGCTGCTACTCCGTTGCTAATTCCCGCCGCCGCCGCGCCTGCTGCTGTTGCTATTTCCCGCCGCCGCCGCGCCTGTTGTTCAGACTAATGCATCTCCCAGCCCCACCGCCGTCGCTGCCGCTGCTACTCCGTTGCTATTTCCCGCCGCCTCCGCGCCTGTTGTTCAGACTAATGCACCTCCCAGCCCCACCTTCGTCGCTGCCGCTGCTACTCCGTTGCTAATTCCCGCCGCCGCCGCGCCTGCTGCTGTTGCTATTTCCCGCCGCCTCCGCGCCTGTTGTTCAGACTAATGCATCTCCCAGCCCCACCGCCGTCGCTGCCGCTGCTACTCCGTTGCTATTTCCCGCCGCCTCCGCGCCTGTTGTTCAGACTAATGCACCTCCCAGCCCCACCTTCGTCGCTGCCGCTGCTACTCCGTTGCTAATTCCCGCCGCCGCCGCGCCTGCTGCTGTTGCTATTTCCCGCCGCCACCGCGCCTGTTGTTCAGACTAATGCATCTCCCAGCCCCACCGCCGTCGCTGCCGCTGCTACTCCGTTGCTAATTCCCGCCGCCGCCGCGCCTGTTGTTCAGACTAATGCACCTCCCAGCCCCACCTTCGTCGCTGCCGCTGCTACTCCGTTGCTAATTCCCGCCGCCGCCGCGCCTGCTGCTGTTGCTATTTCCCGCCGCCGCCGCGCCTGTTGTTCAGACTAATGCATCTCCCAGCCCCACCGCCGTCGCTGCCGCTGCTACTCCGTTGCTATTTCCCGCCGCCTCCGCGCCTGTTGTTCAGACTAATGCACCTCCCAGCCCCACCTTCGTCGCTGCCGCTGTTTCTCCGTTGCTGATTCCCGCCGCCGCCGCGCCTGCTGCTGAGACTATTTCCCTCCCAGCCCCACCGCCGTCGCTGCCACTGACTGATGCGTCTGCCAATTCCCGCCGCCGCCGCGCCTGCTGCTGTTGCTCTTCCCGCCGCCGCCGCGCCTGTTGTTCAGACTAATGCATCTCCCAGCCCCACCTTCGTCGCTGCCGCTGCTACTCCGTTGCTAATTCCCGCCGCCGCCGGGCCTGCTGCTGTTGCTATTTCCCGCCGCCGCCGCGCCTGTTGTTCAGACTTATGCATCTCCCAGCCCCACCGCCGTTGCTGCCGCTGCTACTCCGTTGCTATTTCCCGCCGCCTCCGCGCCTGTTGTTCAGACTAATGCACCTCCCAGCCCCACCTTCGTCGCTGCCGCTGCTTCTCCGTTGCTAATTCCCGCCGCCGCCGCGCCTGCTGCTGTTGCTATTTCCCGCCGCCACCGCGCCTGTTGTTCAGACTAATGCATCTCCCAGCCCCGCCGCCGTCGCTGCCGCTGCTACTCCGTTGCTATTTCCCGCCGCCGCCGCGCCTGTTGTTCAGACTAATGCATCTCCCAGCCCCACCGCCGTCGCTGCCGCTGCTACTCCGTTGCTAATTCCCGCCGCCGCCGCGCCTGCTGCTGTTACTATTTCCCGCCGCCACCGCGCCTGTTGTTCAGACTAATGCATCTCCCAGCCCCACCTTCGTCGCTGCCGCTGCTACTCCGTTGCTAATTCCCGCCGCCGCCGCGCCTGCTGCTGTTACTAGGTCGGGAAGAATGGCTTCCCGGAGGGGGCATTTCACCCTCGGCCATATCGCAGGGCTTTGCCACGGTACGTAGGAGTCCCCTGACAGACTCTGTACTATACTAATGCCTTATAACGATAGTTGAACGCGTTTTAGTTAGATTTTGTTGCTTGCAAGGGTCACTGGGGTTTTAGGGGAACAGCGCGGGCCGCGGGACAAAAACTGCTCGCACCAGACAGCTCAACAGGATCTTCCAGACGGCAGACGAAGGAACTGAAAGCCCTTTGACCGAAAGCCAAGAGCTTCCTTCGCCGAGCATCGGGCCATCATCTCTATCCAAACACCAAAGTTTGACCACCCTAACCTCCCGACCTGAGGACAGCCCTCCATGCACGGCCTCCACACAATCCGTGTGCAGAATTCCCTTTGCCAACCCGCACCCCTGCCCGTCGCCATCTCCTCCTCGGCCGTTTTTGCCCTCCCACCCCTGCATGTCCTGTTGCTGCTGCTGCTGCTGTTTTGGGACCCAACCCGAAACCGGACCCAAAGTCCAAGGGCCCAGTCAAGCAGACCATGCAAGACTACTTCGTCGCCGTCAGCGACGCGCTCGGAGCGCTGTGGTCTCTCAGCCCGCCCGCTTGGCGAGCGACCCGGGGTCCCGCGTTTTCCCACCACAGCGGCGCGCCGTTTTGCCTCACCGTGGTCTTTGACGGCCACGGCTCCGGCGACCACGCGGCGCGCACCACGCAGGAGAGCGTGCTTGCGGCTGTGGCGTCTGACCCAGATCTCCTGGACTGCTTTGGTACGTACGTGGGGGTTAAGAAACTTACTTCTGACTGGGAAGAATTTCCTTGGAGGAAAAAGAGAAGGACTTACACCGACAGGGGGGGCCCTGCGGAGGTAGCTCGGGAAGGGAAGGGAAGGGCATCATTCTACATACAGGCGGCGGCATGCAGGGCGGGATTCAAGGGGTTCAATCTACATGGCCCTTCCACCTGGCTGGCTGGCTGGCTGGCTGGGGTATACATACATAATGACGACCATGGAGCATGTGAGCATGGGGAAAGAACCACCAAGAACGTGAAAGCCACGAAACTGAAGGAAACCCGCAGCCCTTATGACGTAAATCGTGATAACAGAAGCCACTTGTTGTCTTGACGAGAGGACCACGGCGGGCGATCTGGGTTTTTGATGTACCAGCCTTTCGGAATATATGGACCTTAATTTTCCTGAATCCCACAGGTTGTTATGGGTCCGTCGCGATGCCCCTCTAACATACACGCATTTAACTAGATAATGTGGCGTCCATTGCGTTTGTCGTTATGTTTGTCATTTGTTGCCATGTGGCGGCCTCATCCTAATTCCTTCCTTCGCAGCTCGCAACATGGAGATGCCGGGTGTGAGCCCCGAGGTGCTGGCGGTGGCCACCAGCGCCTTCCGCCGCTCCTTTAGAGAGCTGGACTCCCGGATTTGCACGGAGGGGGAAGCGCGGGGGCTGCCGGTGAGTAGGAAGAAGAACACGGGAAGGACCCGAGGACCTCTGTATCAAGGGGCGGGAGGTCGGGAAGGGGCGGGAGGTCGGGAAGGGGCAGGAGAGGTCGGGAAGGGGCGGGAGAGGTCGGGAAGGGGCGGGAGGTCGGGAAGGGGCGGGAGGTCGGGAAGGGGCGGGAGGTCGGGAAGGACCCGAGGACGTCGGGAAGGGGCGGGAGGTCGGGAAGGGGCGGGAGGTCGGGAAGGGGCAGGAGAGGTCGGGAAGGGGCGGGAGAGGTCGGGAAGGGGCGGGAGGTCGGGAAGGGGCGGGAGGTCGGGAAGGGGCGGGAGGTCGGGAAGGGGCGGGAGGTCGGGAAGGGGCGGGAGGTCGGGAAGGGGCGGGAGGTCGGGAAGGGGCGGGAGGTCGGGAAGGGGCGGGGGTCGGGAAGGGGCGGGGGGTCGGGAAGGGGCGGGGGGTCGGGAAGGGGCGGGAGGTCGGGAAGGGGCGGGAGGTCGGGAAGGGGCGGGAGGTCGGGAAGGGGCGGGAGGTCGGGAAGGGAACTGTGTGTCCCAAGGGGGCGGAGAAGAAGTAATACTAAGAGGAGAAGGGCCAGGGAAAGGGGAGGAAAAGGGGGCGCATGAAAGCGTGTTGGCCCTAGAATCCAGCTGGGGACGTCGGCAGCTGTTTGCCTCTTGGCTTCGCATGTACCTCTCCCCCCTTTTTGGCGACCATGACACGAATCCGCAATGCGATCGATGCTTTGGGGAGGGGGTTCCCATTACCCCTACACGCGGGGTACGGCCTATGCCCCCGTGGCCCCCTGGCCCCCGTGGTGTCCTCCGACCCCTCCCACCTTCCGACATCGCAATGCCGTGTCTGTCTGTGTGTGCTCTCAGCACGACGGCACCACTGCGCTGGTGAGCGTCCAGGTGGGCCCCAAGCTCTACACCGCCAACGCGGGGGACTGCCGGGCGGTGCTGTGTCGCGGCGGCCGGGCGGTGAGACTGTCCCGCGACCACAAGCCGGAGCTGCCGGAGGAGCGCACCCGCATCGAGGCGGCGGGGGGCCGGGTGGCCAACATGCGGGGTACGTGGCGGGTGGTGCTGCCGCTGGCGGACGGTTGCACAGCCAAGGTCTGCTCCGTGTCCAGGTGCGGCCCTTGGAAGGGGGGAAAGCGGAGAGGGGACTTGGTCTGGTAGGTGGGAGTAGACTTGGGGGGAAAGGAGGTAGGGGTCGGTGAAGATGCGAGGTGAAATGAGGGGGGGAGGGGGGTGGGGGTTAACAAACCTGGCGTGCGAGCGAGGATGTGTTTTGGCCGCTACTTGGACTTGAGAAAACTGGGCGTGGTCCGTACGCCGTACACTGTACATCGATAAACGAACTAGACACGCAGCTAAATGTCACCACCGTTGGGTGACAAAGGTGAGGTTGGGAGAAAACCAAACGGGTGCGTTTTATAGGGGAGCGTAACTTTAAGAACAGTAGAACTCCTCCTCACTCGCGAGCCTTGTGATCTGCCATTTGCCGTCTGTCCCCGTCGTTTCTCGCGGCTTTGGCGCCAGGGGTTTTGGCGACCGGGACTTCAAGGCCGCCTCGCGCATCTCTTCCCAGCCCGATGTGGCAGCGCTGGTGCTGGCGCCACAGCTGGACACGTTCGCCATTCACGCCAGCGACGGGCTGTGGGGCGTGGTGGGAGATCAGGAGGCGGTGGACCTGGCGACGGAGGTGATTGACAAGGTGAGAGGGTGGTTGGGCCGTGGGGGAGGGCGAAGGGTGTGGGGGATGGGTTTAAGAGGACAGTATTAATAGGATAATGTACGTATGTGGTTATGTGTATGTATGTATGCATGTATGTATGTATTATTGGCTCTGGGGGAGGTCGCCTGGGGGCTATGATGAAGCGGTGTGTGGGAAGAAAGGGCAAAGGGTGTTCGGGTCATTGACTCTCGTTTTCCATCTGCTGAAAAACAAGAGACAAGATGAGGGCGTGAACTGTATCTATGATTCTTTTGACACGTACGTAAACAGTTTGTGGGTCTTCCACACACACTGGGTTGCTGCCCCTGTTCACTGGGCGGCGGGAGCCCCTCTTTTTTTGTATCTTACATTTTTCATGTTGCCATATTTTCTCTGGAACGCGCGCTTATATGTCGGGCCGCCCCTCTTTCCACTCTTCCCTCTTCCCCGCGCTTTGAATATGGCTTCCCCTTCCTAAATTTGTCGTACTTCAACTTATCGTACATTTTGTTTCCGCCACCGCAGTTTACGGGCATGACTTCCTTCAACACGCAGCATGCTGCCGCCGCCAAGGCCTCTGCGCAGGAGCTTGTCAAACTGGCGCGAGACAGGGGGTCGATGGACGACATTACCGTGGTCGTGACGCTGTACGACTGGAATTGAGATCTGATTTGGATCCAGCAGGTCGTCATTCAGACCCGTTGGAGCTGTGGATGGTTGGTGACCCAGATCTGGGTTACGTTGTCGGGATTGTTTCTTTTTTGGGGGGCCGACGTCAGTCAGTTGTGAGCTGCTGTGAAATTGTCGGGATTGTGTGCTCTGTCGATGTGCGCTGCTGGCTAAGAGCATGTTGACCCAGATCGATTTGGATTTTGGGATTGGGGATGAAGACCCGTTGACGCGGCTCGATTGAAACTAAAGAACCTATGGCAAGATTGATCTGCATGCTAGGTGCTTACCGGGTTGTTAATTGATACGTGTATTATGTACGTATGTATGTACGTATGTATGTATGTGTGTCTCTCTCGCGGCGTGGCTTTTTGAGTGGTGGAAGGATCGCCCCTCGGACGCGCCACCACTCAGGAAGAAACTTGAGGAGAGGGTTGCTCTGGCGCTCCTCGAGGCGCTCTGACTATCTGCGCTGCTGCAAGCAGACGACTTTGAATTTTGGTTTCGGTTTTTAGTTATATTTTAGTTGAGCTTTTACTTAAGCTTACACGTCAAGAGTCAGCAACATGGTACATGGTGCATATGGGTTCATGACGTATCATCGCGATCTCGAGTGTTTGACGTTCCCCATTTCCATTTTGGATTATTGGGGGTTGGGTGGGCAACAGGGCGGGGTGCAGGTGCGCACGACCGCATTACACAACCGCATAGCACAACCGCATTGCTGGGTTGGTTTTGAGTTGGGTTTGATCCTTGTTTGGGCGCTGGTGGGGGCACTGTATGTATTCTCTCTCCCTTCACCGGTGCGAAGAGGTCGCGAGGTAATGTGGGATGTACACTACGAGGGCGGTTTCACCGGGGTCTCCCCCGCCCGCCCGCCCGCCGCATGGGCCATGTACCTACCAGGTGCGTGAGCGGTGGCAGAAGTCCAAGACGCGCAACTGCATGCCCAGTGTATGAAATGAATTTGGCGCGATGTACATGGTGACGCATGACGAGGTGTGGGTCAGATCGGATCGGATGGGTCGAGTCGATGTGGGTCGAGGCAAATGCTGGTGGAAGTAGGGGGGGTACCGGGGCGGCTACTCCTCGCGCGCGGTGTGTGTTCTGTGCGTGTATGTGTATGTATGTGTTCTGTGTGTGTATGTGCAGTTTTGGGGGATTAGCTGAAAGCTGCACTGCAGGTGGAAAGGGGTGGACTGCCGTCGCGGAGGGATGTCGATGTGGTGGTAAAAGAGGGGTGCCATCCTCCGTTTCGTCGTTTCGTCTCATCATCATCCGTCTTGATTGTATACGAGCGTCAAGGTCCACTGTTGCGCCCCGTTGAGGGGCCTTCCCGCAGCAGATCGCCTCCGTTGTGTTGTCGTTTCGTGGATGTCCTTGCGAGCGTTGGTGCCCCTTGGGTTTGGGAGTGTGGTTCTTTATTGTTGATAACTAACTTGTGTGTTTTCTGCAGTTATGGTGTGTCACATAGCTCACTCTGCTGCACCACAGTTGCGCTTTGCGCTGTGCCGTGCTGTGCGGTGCGGTGACCACATTGTGGACTTCTCTCCCGGTGCAACCCTCCAGGAAAGAGCATTTGGATTCGGGTCTTTGGCGAAAGTGTGCGCGATGGTGGTAGTGATGGTGGTGGTGCCCTCCTGGGGCTCCGGCTCTGTTGCCCGCTGCCCCCCTTGGCTGTTCGTTGTCACCCCTTGGCTGTGAATGGGGCCGCCAACTCAGCAGCAGAAGGGTCCGGCCAGACACGGGCAACGGACATCCAGCACGGTCCGTTTTGCAGTGGTGTCTGTGGTGGCTCCCCTGGTGGGCATGGGATTGGTGACTGTATATGGATATGGCTGTTTTGCTACCAGACCAGCACCTACCTGCCTCAGCGACCGGCGGCACACCACCAATGCGCAGTGCCTCCCCCCCCCTCCTTTCCCATGCCCACTTTAAGAATGGGGTGTATAGGAGGTTGGAGGCGACGGGGGGCCTTGCCATTTGGCTTTGGGCGAAATACCCTATCTACCTCCTGCTGCAGCAGCAGAAGCATTTCTGACGTGGGCGTTTGAGAAAGCTTGGGGGTGTCCTCCAGGCCCTCCAGCCCGCGGCCTAATTCCCTGGTGCTTGCCTTGACTTGACTTTTGACGAAGAAGATAACAAGATGAAGAATGCAGGTCGTGCCTCTTTAGGAAACCGCGCGGGCAACAAGGGAGTTGGATCTTCCCGAGGAAAGGGGCGGGCGGGGGGGGAAGTAATCCCCCCGGGGGTAATGCGGGGAGACCCCGGTTGGTCGATCACGGACCGCGTGTGTGTGTTTCACGTGTGTGTGTCGCGTGCATCTGCAGGAGGATAGGCACCCCCGGCTGAGTTTTGGCCTCAACTGCGGGTCCTGGCCGAAAGTGCGTTTCTATGTCCTCCTCTTGAAAGCGTGTGTGTTTTTGTTGTCGTATGTATAATTTGGTCGTTCGTACATGGAGCCCGTGTCGGACGCAATGTGTACGACACATGGTATTGAGAAATGGTCTTCTGAGCTACTGAATGTTCTTGGTGTATTGTACGGCATCTGGGAGCACACGTGCGTCGAGGTGCATAGTACGAGCGCAACGCAGTGCAGCGCGGTGCAGCTGATCTGGCGCGGCTTAGCTTGGCGTTAACGGTTTGCCTAGGCACTTGTGGCCGGGTGGTGCGTGTGGGTTTGCATGTCGTCCAGGGACTTGTTGGTCTCTTTGTTTCCATGTTTCCATGTTTCCATGTTCGTTTCCATGTTTCCATGTTCATGGTCTGGTCTGGGTTGACACTACTGCAATTAGCGGTTTAAGGTCCTGGGTTCGATTCCTGGGGAGACCCCCGAATTAGTCGGGAGCGCGAGATTATGGCTAGCTGCTGAGATGTGGAGTTGAGGTCACAGTTGATGGACCAGATTCGCACGCTGGATTGGTGGCGATTGCCGAACCCTCCGTCTCTTCGGGTGTTCGGGTGAATGGATGAGGAGGGGTCCCTGAAGGCTGGATCCGCCGCCTTGGACTTACAGTTCGTATGGCGAAGTACAGTGTGGTAGTGGTGGATGGTGCTATAAGGTGATAAATGATCTAGAACTGACAATGTGATAAAGCGGCCCAGAAGCTTCCCACTCTGTAACATTACATACATACATGTTCGTGGTTCCTCAGCCGGCGCGATGTTTCACATTAAAGTGTGTGGTGATAATTGCTGTTTGAAGACCGTCTGAGATGCGAGATGAGAGAGGTCTGTCTGAAAGTGCTTGGGAAGGAGGGGGGGATATTGGGTGCGCGATCTTTTGGTCGTGCTCTGGCTCTCCATGCTGTGTGGGTGGGTAGAGGCAGCCATGACGGTTACATTCCATCAAACCACAGTCCACGAACAGTTGCACCCATGTCGGTTGGTGGTTGGGAGGCAAACTGTATTACCTGACAGCGATGTCTCGAGGCGGAGCGATGTCTTGAGGCGGAGGGGTTGACGAGCGGGCGAAAGGACGCGCCTTGGGGATGAGCTGGTCAGCTGGCGGAGGGAGGCGGAGTTTTAGTTGCGAGCTTCACTTTTTGCCATCTCTTCTGCCTTCTCATTTCTCTTTTGTCGTGCCTTCTGAAGCCAATTCCTATGTCTGTCGTACCTAACGCCTGGTCAAGCCGCACTTTAGGTTTTGTGGTTGGCTTTATTTGCACCAGTGGTGTCGGTTCCCTGCCCAGTATGTACTACGACTGCCAAAGGTGTTTTCTGACCGGCATGTATGTGTGTCCGTGTTAAACGTGTCCTGGGTAACGGCACTGGCAGCGCAACGGTGTTTTGTGAACTGCTGGGGGCTCTGAACGAGGTTGGCAGGGCTGGACGTCTGAGCCCGTGTCATACACCACTGTTTTCGGAAAACAGGCAAACAAACAGACAAACATCATGTAACACCAAGAGGCGCCGTGGTCGCGACACCGTCCGTGCCGTTATGACATGCATGTGTACACGGCCCGGCGTCTTGATTTGGGTGGCTGTGGACCCGGGCTGCCTCGGCGAGACACACATACACAAACATCGGCTTGGGCGAGCTCGTAAACGGTTGAACGTAAAGTTGACACACTTGTGAGTCAGATGAGGTGGGGATGATACGCCACTTTTTAATGTTTTGTGTCCTCACCTCCCGGTCATTATTGAGAGGGAGCCCCCCCGCACTGCCGTCTGGGGCGGCGGGAGAGCAAGGGGGCCTAGTACTGCATACCCCACCACCCTGCGCGGCGCTTGTATACGTCATGTGTGCCCAGGTGTTAAGTTGATCCGTGCGCGCTGACGTCTCCTCCCGCGCGCTCTCCCTTTTCGGGAGGTGGGGAAGGAAAAGGAGGGAAGAGGATGAGTCCTAGGGCACGTTTTCTCTGGCGCGGTTTTTTGTTGTTGTTATTCCAGGAAATTGTCCTATCCTTTTTATCCTTATACCTAATGAGGAGCGAGCGTGTGCATTGCGCGTCGCGTCTTCTGTTTTTGGGCGAGGCCCCGGGCGCGAAGCGCCATTCGGGGGGCCGAGCCCCCCGGGTTCACTGCTGTCAGTCAGTCAGTCAGTCAGTCAGTCAGTGGCTTACATATCTCGCCCCGCAAAATAGCGTTTGAATGCTATATCCATTCTATATCGAAATGCCAAAGGAGGCATTCCAGATAAATCGGAGCGCGAAGATAGCTTTCCATGGCTCCGAGTTAAACGTGCACACGCTACGCGTAAGGTAGGGCTTGCCCAAAAGAGGAATTGCCAAAGTCTGTAATGCGGGCTATGCGAAGCTTGAGCCGGGTTAGCTAAGGCGTAGGGCCTTACGGCCGTTTTAAGTGGTACGACTTGAGGCCGGCGATCCGTGTCCTCAGGATCGTCTTTTGCATAAATAGCGCGTGTTGCAGGTTTTCTGTATCTTGTTTTTGTTGTTCAGCACGCGCTGAACAACGAGGCAGGTCCCGCGCCTTCGGCGCGCTTTCTGTTTTTTCCGCTGTGCTTTCAGCTCTTCAGCAAGACCCATCGGGTAGAGTGCCCTGATTGAAGGAGCACCATTATCGCTCCGTCGTCATCGTCTTGAAGATCATGGCAACCGTAGCAGTATCCGTCCAAGCCGTTTTAGCGGTTTTTGTCGTTTTCTGCGGCGTTGCTGGCGCCATGATGCCGGGCCAATATGGTTCCCAGCCCCCTTCCCCATATATGCAAGGTCTGCTGGGTGGCGGCGCTACGCCGCTAGGAGGCGGAATGGCGCCCAGCGCAGTACCGAGAGCGGCAACTATGTCTGGTGCGGCGGTTGCTGGGCCGGACATCGCTGCAATGTTACTCCAGATGCAACAAGACCTGGCCGGGGTCCGCGCGCGCCTAAATAGTCAAGGTGCGACCTCGGGTCCGGAATACGATTTGCGCGCGCTGACGGAGGATTTTGCGTCGCCTCAAGTGCAGCGCTCTCCAGCCGGGTCGCGGTTTCCGTTTCCCGACTATGTTCTGCACAATTTGCCGGGAACCATGACGGTGGATAATCTGGTTTTGCATAATTTTCGGGCAATTCCTGAGTGGCAGGAGTTAGAGCACTCGC